TAATCGGTTCCGCATACTTATGGTTGCTTCCATCTAGTGCGTTTAATTATCTCAGGCATTTACGCACCATAATGTCCACGTTTTTTAATCCGTTTTCATTGGTAGCTCGCCAATTTTTCGTTCAACTTTTCAACTTTTGGTGGATTGACCCAACAGCTAATTAACTCCAATAAAAATAACTCTTGAAAGCACGATAAAAAAAAACAACCAAAACCCTTTCCACACAAGTCTAGTGCACGTCAGTCTCTCAGTGGTCAACTATCTCGACTGTCTCACACGCCGCACCGGTAAGAGGCAAACTTACCAAATTTTCTCTTTTAACTTTACAAGGCGTTTTCCAATTTTCGAAACCCGACATCTAAACTTATTCTTGTTACGATAATGTTCGCCTCCTTTGCCCTCTTCATAAAAAATTACCACACAGTTAATGATGACCACGCCGTCTTCAACCTGAGCGACCTCAGCCATTGTGACAAAACGTGTAAGACCTCAAATTACTGGCACAGGTACACAAATGGAAAAGCCTGGTAAGGTATTTTATTTATTTTATTTTATTAGCTTTGCCCTGAAGAATACAAAAAAACACTATAGATATGCAAACACTAGTAATAAGAACGTAACAATACACTAATAATAACTTAAATATTACGGCAGGGACACCGCAACAGCTAAAGCCAATTACTGCGGACCCAAAAAATAAAAAGATATAAAAGAAGCAATTTAAATCACATGCAGCAGCTAATTTCCTGGTCTAAAAACATAGCTGTGTTACATTTCAGGCAAATACTTTTGAACCTCCTTGGAGAGTCCTGGTCATAGTTTATTGCTAGAGCCCGCGAGTAATAACCGTAAAGAACAAATTTAAAGTTCTCAAAAGTAACATTGTCTAGGTCAAGTCTAGTAATAAACAGGTTCCAGATTCTAGTGGTTCTAATGAAAAAAGATTTCTGAAAGGAAGAAGTCCTGCATTTTTTAGGCACAAAAGATTGAGAGCTTGTTACGGATATACGGGTCGTTCGCGCGCATTCGCCCACGAAGGGAACAACAGACGGATCTAAGTGAGTCATGTTACGCATGGCCTTGTAAAAGTTTACTAGATCTAGTAACTCGTGCCAGTAGCTCACAGGAAGTAGGTTTACAGACAGTCTTTCTTTGTAAGTGATATTTGTTAAAAAAGGCAAGCAAAGAATGAATTTGGTGACACATCTTTGGATACTTTCGAGTATACTTTCGAGGTAACTTGAGACGACTCATCATCATTGGATGCAATAACAATCACATTGTATATTATCGACCAGAATATTAAACTGTCACAAAATGGCCCACAAATGGTGTAATCATTTACCGTTATGTCTCAAGACTTCTACACTTTTATCGACCTTTATGTCCTCCTGTGTTTTGTTTTGCGTATTGTATCGAAAGGAAAGCCCAAATAAACGGTACCGTACTACTGTGAACAATCTCATTTTACCGAATTCCGTCAGCCAAAATGATGAAAAAACGCATAGCGCAAAGCGAGATGATACCGCAATACCGCACGTTAAAGTTAAAATTAAAATTACCGAATACCGCGTGAAAAAAAGCCCAATACGGCAATACTGTAAACCCCCATGTCCCCCTTCTATGGCAAGTAAAAACCTATCTGTTATTACTAATCTAGGATTCAGATGATGATCTCCTATACCCACAGTTTTGCAGGTACAGTCTTATTTGTTCATGGATATATGTGTTTATTACTGTTAGAGTATTAAACTTTGCTTATAGTCACTGAAAATTGTTGTATGATGGCACCTGAGAAAAAAAAGTTGGAACGATTTTCTTTAGTTTTCTTTGTCAGTTGTTGGCGTGGTGTGTATGTAAACCTCTTTCGCTCTCTAAAACCTCTTTAATGCACACAGTTTTGGCATCCTACTGATGAACAGTTATTGCTTTTAGATAATTATTTGCGATCTGTTCCCTTTGAATTGTTTTCCCAATGGAGGTCCCAGGGGAACTTGACCCATTGTATTTTTATAAATAAAAATTAATTGAAAACCAAAGCTAATAAAATTGGTTTAAAAGTTAATTTTTGCAGAATCAGCGCACATACTAGTTGTTACCATTTACATCAGTAAGACATCATTATACTCGCATGCAGATTGAGAAAAAACACTGAGAACTAACATGTATTATTTGTGCTATAAATGGCTAGGGGTTGATGTGACTTGTAATGTTACAAGAATGGGAGTGTCATGTGTTATGTGTATCTGACTTTCTTACACGTAAACAAATTATTGCGACTGTAATGAGAATCTACCCAATCATTCGTAAAAGTTTCTGGAAGCATGGACTTGCACTGTACCATACATAGCTAGCTGTTCAGTAAAATGTTTGGTTATTGTACATACACAGAATTCTTTTTAAGCTCAACTGCCATTACAATTAGCTTGTTTACAGTAAATGTTGACACTCTAGGAATTAAATTTTTTGTGTAGGAGAGTACATGTGACGTGGCAAAACTAAAAGAAATGTTTCCTACTGAGGAATACTCAGTGCTTGAAGAAACCTTGAAGAGTTGAAGTGGTGATGTAAACCAAGCTGCAGCACAGCTGGCAGGTTGCAAGGAAGGTAAACATTTTGTTGTTATTGTTGTTTTAAATGACTTCATTTTTGGTAAATAATAAACCATTACTAATGTTTGCTCTATTTGTAGGTTAGGTGATGATTTTGAAGAGCTCACACCAGTATTCCAGCCAGGACGTAACTACCAAGGTATGCATAAAGTGGAGAATGCATTGTTTTTATTCTAGTTGAGAAAGTATAGCAAGAGAAAGAAGTAATGCATCATTAGTATCATTAGATTTCTTTTATCACCATCAAAGGTGTTTGTCATCATTGATGTTTCCAACATAAGCACAGTTGATGACTTGTCTCGACTACTGTTACAAAACATTACACTTCATGCTCTGCTAGTAATATTCATAAGGCAGTGAAGTCAAATGGCAAACAAAACTACAGATGGCACCATGGGTTGTGAGTATTGGTGCTTTAAGGGTGGTGGTAAAAGCATTGAGCACCCCCAGCTATAGGAGCAAAACAGAACAAACATGTACTACTTCTGTGGGTCTGTGTTTTGGACAGAAAAAAAGGTTTTGTGCTTGTTACACATTTTTATGCGAGTAACATTAATTTTTAAGATCTCTCTGCCACAGATACGGAACTTCCATCAGCCCCTCCAAGTGTGCAGTTAGATGAAGGTCCAACTTCTCATGTGCTGAGACTATACAAAAGAAAAAAAGAACAAGGGACAGTGTTCATAGAAGTGAACAGATTTCAGCTGTCACGTCTTTGACAAATAATGAAGATCTACAAAGACCCTCACTTTCAGCTAACAAAATCACCAGACGTCAACTTCTACAATGAGCAGTGTGCTGACCTTGGTGGGCCAACCAAGGAAATTCTTCCATGATGCAATAGCATGTTTTGCAAAAGTTGATCCTGCCTTTAACATTCAACTTTTTGTAGGCTTGCAGGGTCATTTCATTCCATTTTAGCTCATTTTATTAGGTTGATGCTGTGGCTTCCGGCTACAGCATTCTCCACGATGGTCCAGGATTTGTGGGGCTTGGACCTTGTCTCAGAGAGCACCTGGCTACTGGCTGCGTAGATACAGCAAAGGAACTTGTGAGTCTGGATGACTTACCAGACTTAGACTTGAAACATATTCTGGAGGCAGAAGTAAGTAGTATTTAATTTTTAATGGGACCGTAGAAGCCCACCTTACAGCCACTTTGTTTTTGTTACCACCCACCTTGTTATTATGGCCATATTCACTTTATTTATTTTATTATTTTTTTGCGAAAGCCTTGTTTATAACGCCTCTGTACTTGTGCAATCTTGGAAAGAAAAGTGTTTTTGCTGCTTGTACCATTCCACTGGTTGTAATGTAGGCAACACTTCATTCTCATTGTAGATTGTATTGTCCATAGTCCTGTTTTTGGAAAAGGTGAAGAAGACTGCCTTATTGCAATTTTTTTTCATTTATTCAACAGTGTTTAATTTAAAACTATCTAAATAAAGCACACTTTATTCTAAAAACGTTTTAATGCTGGTTCAAAGTATAAAAAGGAATTTTCCTTTGTCACTTAAAATTTTACAGAAGGAAGTGAAGGACATTGATATATCTGCAAAAGACAAAGTGGAGGAGCTAATGGTGAGGCACGGGCTTAGTGACATCCCACTTACAGACCTGAACAAAGAGAAAGCTGTGAATGATCTGCTGGTTGCAGAAGTCATCATCAAACGTACACTTTCGCTGGACCGATTCTTTGCAGGCCTGAATTGTGTTGGCCTTGGCGATTTGTTGCGAACGTATCCTGTTATCAAAAATGTCCTCTTCCCCTCACCAGACCAGGTGAATGGTTTCAGGTGGGACCCATAGAGATAACCCAGTGTCTACGTTGATTGCAAGAATTGTCTGACATTTCTTGACATTTCTTAGCAGATTCTCATACACCAAAAGGCAGACCTCATTAAAACCTCCGCAGAAAATATCAGGGGGTAACAAAAGCATATACTTAAAAAATAATAACTCTACGGGCTTAAGATCACCTACATGCACATGTATTTTGATCTTCTTGACACGGTCGATGGGAACCAATAAAAGCACTAAAAGATACTCTACAGTATAAAAGAACTGGCACCTTCACATAGTCGTGCCCCCTAGTGCCCTTAAGTCTGCTAAGAAGTCCTGCCCGTTGGACCCGATGCAAACTTCTCTGGTTGTTGGCTGCCTTGACCTGCTGTTGCCTGTTATCTCACGAATTATAAATCTTTTGCTATCATGCGGCCATTTCTCTGAGGAATGGAAAGAAGCTCTGGTTACTCCGATCCTTAAGAAACCTGGCTTAGACCCGACGCAGTTGAATAACCTTCGCCCTGTCAGTAACTTGGACTTTATATCAAAATTGACAGAGCGCGCTGTTTTCGACCAAATTCACAGTCATATGAGTCGATTCGCCCTTTATCCAACCTCGTGATCCGCTTACCGAAAGGGTCACAGCACAGAAACAGCGCTACTGAAGGTACAAAATGACATTCTCATCAATATGAATCGCAAGTATGTAACTCTTCTAGTTCTCCTAGATTTGAGCGCAGCGTTTGACACTGTTGACCACAATATTCTGCTTTCTCGTCTTAAGTCATGTATCGGCATTAATGGCACCGCCCTTAATTGGTTTACGTCTTATCTTAACAACAGGTCGCAACGGGTCTCGCTAAATGGCTTTACATCTGACAGTTTTAAGCTTCCTTATGGCGTTCCACAAGGATCGTGTCTGGGGCCATTGTAGTTTACCATTTATTCGAGCAAATTGTTTGAAGTCATCAAATACCATCTACCTGAAGCTCATGCCTATGCCGATGACAATCGGCTTTACCTGTCGTTTAGTCCTGACACGGCAGCTAATCAGACTGATGCGATCATTGCCATGGAACGCTGTATATCGGACATCCGTACGTGGATGCTTACGGATAAGCTCAAACTTAATGATGACAAAACTCAGTTCACGTTGATTGGTACAAAACAACAACTTTCCAAAGTAAATATTGATTGCCTTACCGTAGGAAGCATTGACGTTGCTCCTGTCACTGCGGCAAGAAATTTAGGTACATCGTTCGATTCTAACTTGAATCTCCAGGAACAGCTCCACAAAACTTGTAAATCTGGGTTTTTCCATTTATACAATATTCGGCGTATCCCAAAATATTTGCCCCAGGAGTCTGCACGAACTCTGGTCCATGCTTTTATCATTGGTCGTATAGATTACTGCAACAGCCTTCTATTTGGTTTACCCTCTGTTCATCTACTTAAACTGCAACGCTTGCAGAATGCAGTTGCTCGACTTATATCTAATGTCCCTCGCTGCAGTCACATAACACCAGTACTATGTTCGTTACATTGGCTTCCTGTCAAATTTCGTATTGATTTTAAAATACTTCTTTTTACTTTTAAAGCTATCTACGGTCACGCGCCTGGTTACTTGATCGATTCGATTGCTATTAAAGAACAGCAGCGCTATAATCTTCGTTCAGCTAGCGGTCTTATCTTAAAGTATCCTAGTCTAAAACTGAAAAAGACTTTAGGGGATCGTGCTTTTTTATCTGCTGCCCCTAATTTATGGAACAATCTGCCCCTTCACATCCGTCTTGAAGACAATTTTGAACGTTTTAAATCTTTACTTAAAACATCTTTTTAGACTAGCTTTTGATATGTAATTTTTTAACCTACTATGTAATGTATTAAGTGTTTTTTACCTTTATTTAATTTTCAGCGTTGTTTGTTCTTAGCTTTACTTATTTTGCTCATTTTAGCTTTTATTTTCTTTTAACATTTATGTGTTGTCACGCGCTTTTGATCATATTTCCATGGAAAAGGCGCGTTATAAATTTTTAATTATTAATTATTATTATTACTCTAGACCTGATTCCTGCTAACTTACTTAAGTTGTGCTTTTCTGATTTGGTACCAATCATGACAAAGATTGTTAATTGCTCTTTAGAAAGTGGTGAAGTTGCTCTGCCTATGAAAAGGGCTATTTTATCTCCTCTTCTTAAAAAACCGTCCCTTGACACCGAGCTCTATCCAAGCTTCAGACCGGTATCGAACTTCATGCTTGTGTCCAAGGCGACAGAAAAAGTAGTGGCTACACAACTCTGGGAATATTTATGTTCAAATGGATTAAATGAGGAACTTCAGTCTGCTTATAAAGCTAATCATAGCTGTGAAACAGCTCTGATTCGAATACAGGATGATATCCTCAAAGCCATCGATACTCATCGCGGTGTTTTGCTTTTGCTATTGGATCTTTCTGCAGCCTTTGATACGGTTGATCATGAAATTCTTCTAGGTTCGGTATCAAAGGAAAAGCCCTGGATTGGCTACGATCTTACCTTACAGACCGTACTCAGCTTGTGAAAGTAGACGACGCTTCATCCACGTTACGACCCCTTCATTGGGGTGTGCCTCAAGGTTCGGTCCTAGGCCCTATGCTTTACTTATTGTATACATCTCCACTGGGTGATATTGTTCGTGAGCATGGCTTGTCGTTTCACTTTTATGCTGATGACTCGCAGCTTTATAGATCTTTTGCTTGCAATGACACCTCTGATCTAGTGGCTGCAAAACAACGTCTTGAGAACTGCGTTGCTGACATAAATTTGTGGATGACTGCCAACAAGTTAAAGCTTAACAGTGATAAATCAGAATTTCTCTTTCTGCACTCCCGTTTTCCTCATTCGTTGCCCCTTCCCACGATTTCTGTTGGCATGGAAAACATTAGGCCCTCTCAACAGGCTCACAATCTTGGCGTGATTTTTGACAACACAATGTCACTTTCACCTCATGTTAATACAATACTTAAGGGTGAATTCCATCACATACGAAATATTTCTCAAATAAGAAAATACATCACTCAAAGTACCAGAGAAATTCTAATTCACAGTTTTGTTAGCTCGAAGTTGGACTCTTTGTAATTCTCTTCTTTTTGGTGCCCAAAAACGTGACATAGTTAAGTTGCAGTTCGTTCGGAATGCGGCTGCTCGAATTACACATCACCGAGACTCTAAGAGATCTTCACTGGCTTCCTGTTAAATAACTTTTAAAACATTGAACGGCTCTGGTCCCCGTTAACTTGAAGATATTTTAAAATTTTACCATCAATCAAGGACATTACCGTAGCTACAGCAATTAGCAGCACGTTTAAACAACTTATTTTTTATCCGAAATCTTTGTTTTCTTCACGCGCACGCTAACACAATTTCTAGATTTAACTAGAAAGTTCTTTCTAACGCAAGCTACAACACATGCGAAAGCGCTACGCAATTTTGTTATTAAAAGGTTAGTTTTTGGTTTTTGCGGTTAGTTGACGCAAGTTCTTTGTCAATCCATTTCAAGAAGCCAAGAAGTTTTCCTTGTTCTAGTGATTTTAAGGACATCACCAAGGTAAATATTTTCGCTACATTTTCTTATTTAAGTATGCGCCTTATTATTTTATCCTTTTAACCGATTTTATCGCTAATTGCATTGTAAAATCAAGATTTTAGATTTTAGACGAAGTTAAGTTTACACACATTATTTACCGTTATTTGTCAATTTTAAGTTTTTACCTTTCTGTCTTGTTACTTTCAACGGATGAAATGAATGTATTTCCGTAATTTCTCAACCTTAATTGTAAAATACTCTTACCTTTATTTTTGTTCTCACGGTGTTTATGGAAGTAAGGTTAAGAAAAGAAATAAACATCAGTACGTGAACGAGTGTCATCTCATATCTCATCACTGGAGCAATAATTACAGTCATCAAGGGATCATTTACGCCTTGAAGAACCAAATTTTCCGTTGCTGCCCCCCGACTATGGAACAAGCTCCCCTTTGAAATTCGAGCTTTTTCTGATGTCAATCTTTTTAAATCTAAGTCGAAAACGTTTCTTTTTAAAAAGGTATATGACATTTAGTTTCATCATATTTGTTTTTTCTTTTTCTTTCCTTTTTAAGATGTGTATGCTATAAATTTCCCAATATGTACAGTAGGGTTGTATGTAAGCTTTTGATTAATGATATTCTTATGTCCTTTTTTACATTGTAAAGCGCTTAAAACAGCGATGTATAAGCGCTATATAAATTTTATTATTATTATTATTATTTTTTGGAGTCAGGGCATGATGCTGGGGTAACATACTTTAATGTCATTGTTGCAATTAATCACGCATGACTTACTGTATGAAGTAAGAAAATGTTTGCATAGTTTTGTTTTGTTCGCACAAATGTTGATCACACAAATATACTCTATAAAGAAGTGTATATCTTAAGAAGAACATATCACTTATGAGAGATCATTACTAGTAGTTATTATCAGATACAGGTATTCAAAATCATTATAATATGTCTCTAAGTAAATCAAGTGTGTAAAGGTATATGTCAACACCATTAAATTCACTATTAACATATTTCCCTTGTTTCATCTTCTAGAGGAAAGTCTGTCTGCGGCACCTCTACAAATGGCACATTGTCATTAATTGGGCCATCCCATTCTTCTGAGGGTGCAGGTCCATCAGGATCTATATCATATGTGTCAGCTGCATTCTGCTAAAAGGAGGAAAATAAAAATAAAAATTGTGGTGAACCATATCATATCATAATCCTCTAGGCACCATCCTGACAAAGGTTGGGAGGGTGTGAGGCCTAAAAAAATTTAATGCTCACATGATGAGCGAATTCAGCTGATGTTCTAAAGTCACTGTTGGCCTCTGACAACATTCCTTGAAAGAACAACTGCTCAGGTGAAGAATTGTGCTCCGTGCTCAAGGGGCCCCTGTTGTGACCTGCTCTGAAAAGGTCCAGATTTCTTTGGATCATTGGCAGGTACATATAGTGCAATGCAAAGAGTTGGATTTCATCAGAGGGATCTAACAAACCAAAGTTCTCCATACTGTAAAACAGATAATAGAACACATATGTGCAACCCAGGAACAAATCCCTCCACAACCTCTCAATCCTTTGGTTGTGTACACTCCGCCCTGTTATGTGGCTTCCTCGATTTGGACCCCGCAGTGGGTGGTTCAGCATGAACCATGCCACCTCCACATTTTCTCCTCCTTTATCAGACCTCACACGTGATGGAAGTCCAAAGGCCTCTACTGCAGACTGAAAACATTCCAAAACAGTTGTAGCTTTCTTGTTTGTAGCAGCTCGAAGGTAGACAATTAACCGTGAGAAACCATCTATTCCACCACGTATAACTATTCTCCATCTATGGAATGTAACAAACATACATCAAAACAAATCTATTTGGTAATTGTGGGCTTTCATCATCAATGAGCTAAGGTCTCCCTTTTAGCGGTTATAGGTAAAGATTAAACTACTTGACCTATAGTTTTGTTTGAATAGTGAATGCGCTATTACCACAAAAGCATAAGCACCAGTTTAGGTTTACAGCTATCCAAACAGATTAATAGGTCAGAATAATGCGCACTTTTATCGCACTTTCTCAGCGTATCTATACGTAAGACGGTTAAACTTTCAAAGGAGTGGAGCCAGAACGTCACGAGCAGTATTTACAGTTTGCCTCATGTAAGTTAATCCGGATTTTGGATCAGGGATCTGGGGAAGTTTTTCTTGTGAAATCTGAAATCCAGAAAATTTTTGCTGGTACAATCCGGAATCGTGGGCTTTGGAATCCAGAATTCAGCACAAGGAATCCATAATCCTGCCAGCGATTGGAATCTGGATCCAAGTTCCACTGACGAGGAATCCAGAATCCAGTGTCTTCAATTCGGAATCCACAATCCAAGACTGCCTTGGATTACCTTACATCAGTGGGGCAACACAGTTCTGGCACTAGTGACATTAGCCCAAAGTTTAATAGCCCAGCAGCAAATCACTCATCGTTCATACCTTATAAGCTTGTGATTATCATCTATATGCCAAAGGGCCAAGGGTCCATATAGCTGGTATTTTCGGCGGTGAAGAAAGTTTAACTAAAGTGACCTCAGAAGACAAACCTCGGGATTCACTCATTGCATCGCAGAACGTATCCTACTCTGCTGGAGTCGTATTCCTCTTGCGAGCCAAAGACCTGTCATTCTTTTATATCCAGCGTTTGGAAAATCCTTCAGTATCCCAGTAACAATGTCATCAAGCTGGTTATCATTCATTCCATCATAACTTCCCTGGATACTTAATCCATATTCTGACATCCGCCTTTCCACAGTTCGCGTGCTGACCCCGAGAAGTTTGGAGACCTCAGGCATAGAAAAATGTCTTTCTATTAGAAATTCAACCTATTCTAGTGGAACTACATATTTGGGTCTACCACGATTACCAGTGAAAAGCTTTTCTGCAACACGTGCAGAAGAAGTTGGGCTATGAGAGCTCAAGCAATATCGGACTTGCCGTATGTAACTTACTATGTTGTTATCAATCCCTATAGCTCTATCAAACTTTGCAATAGTATTAAAGAGACTCTCAACGCAAAAGAATACAGAATCATGACTATCCGAGTCAAATTTGGTGAATTAAGTTGCCGTAGAATTGCATTTATGCATGCTCGTAATCGATTCCGTAAAACGTCGACGTCCAAGGCTGCCACGATTTGCTATATCGCGGGAAAACTCTTTACTGGTCCCCAGGGCACTGTCGGCCGAATAAACTATGAAAGTCCCGGATTTGCAAGAACATAATTCGAAAGCGAATAATAGAATTGGAAACTGAATAACAGAATTGATATTGGCATAATAGAATTGGAAAAGTGAATAACAGATAACAGAATTCGAAACTGAATAAAAGAATGCATAATGGCATAATAAAATCAGTAAAGCGAGGCGTTACAAATCGATAATTTCGATACTCGATAAAATCGATTGTAATCGATAATTTTCGATACTAATTACTTGATTAATATCGAAAATCGATAGAAATCGATAGCGGAGGTTTTTGTGATTATCGATTTTGATCGATTTTATCGATTTCTGTAATTATAGTTCGATTTTAATCGATTTCTATCGATTTCTATCAAAAATATCGATTTCGTCAATGGAACTCAGACAAAGAAGAAGACAGAGCTTAAAAGCAAGGAACAAAAGGCAAATGGATATCGTAAGGCCAAAAAACGGGAAATAGTACCCGTTCTTGATATTTCCTGTCAAGGAAACGACGATAAAAGACTGAAAGCAGTTAAAAGACCGGTATAGGCAGTTAAGGACGGACGAGACGTAAAGTTAACCCTAGCCGGTCTTAAACCGCATGCGGTTTGTCGGTGGCTTCAACGTACTGTACTCTGGAGTTAACACATACGCTTTCTTTATCCCACACCTTGAGTCGATAATATAAAATACCTTTAATCAGCCTTAATGTACTGTAAACAAACTACAAAGGTTTTTAAAACTGTAATAATAATGCACTTGTCGCTAGACTCAAAAATTGAAACATGCTCAACGATAACGAGAGAAAAAAAAAAAAAAAACGATGCTCGTTCAGTTTTAGGTAAACCAACTTTGTTACGGCGTGAGACGAGTAAATAGAGACCTTTAGATTGGACTACGAGTACGAGATTGAGTACGAGTACGAGTTTTCAAACCAAATTCGTCCGCATCATATAACTACTTATCACACCAATATTATCCCTAACGTTTATTTGTGTGTTAGTCAGCAACAGGAAAGAGTTATAGTTCGGGGGATACAATTATATCGAAATTCCAAAGTCGTACTCGTACTCAATTTCGTACTCGTAGTCAAATCTAAAGGTCGCTAATAAGTAACAACTGTTTCACCAAGTATTTGTTGTAAATTAACTTGAGCGAACAGCCAAGAAGATAACACCTCCATCCACACGCGACGTAAATGAATCAAGTGAGCAAAAAGGTCATTACACATGAATGACACAACAAAAGGCAATAGACCGCGAGAATAAAAGTTACAATTTGTACGAAAAGAATGCATTGCAAATATGCTCCAACAATTTCAAAGAGAAACAATAGGTGAGAAAGGATCTGGAGAAGTTTCTCTTTTCTCTCATCGTAATAGTATAAGCAAGCTATGTTATTATTCAAAGTTAAGCAGGCTTTGAATTTTCTGCTCTTCTTCTTTCCAATATATCTTGAGGTTGAGTGAGTTTCTCCTTCCTGTAAGTTCTCACGAGCTTGACGGACTTTTGCTATAAGTTCTGGTTTTTTTTCGTTGGATCTATAGGTCACATTTAGACTGTCTAACACCTCTTTGAGAAGGAAGACAGTCATGTCTTCTGGTGGCCCCATTTTACGTTTCTCCTTTTCTAACTCTTTCAGTTTCTCCTCCTTCCTCCGAGACTCTTCTTCTTCCTCTTCCAGCTTTGGCAGTAGAATTTCCATCGCCTCCGCGTCTACTTTCAAAGGCCACTTTCTTTCCCCTTGAGGTTTCCGAAAGTTAGCAAATGTGTTTTGCATTCACTCCACATTATTTCTTTTGTGGGTGATAACAACCACTTGCTATTTTCCTTTTTAAGATCGAAAGAACTTGAAAGCAAACTGATATTTTTTTTTTTCGAGTCGTTTCCTTTCTTCCACTCAAAGACAGGAACAGGGGATTTAGAAAACGTGTTACGCACCAGCCGCAATACCAAACCGCATCTCATACCGAGACGTGGGACCCAGAATGCCGCTATATCCTCAAAATATAGTCCGTTTTCTGATCTAGTTGGTGCTACGAGCCTTTCTACCCGTTCGTAGAAATCATTCCTTGAGACAGCCATCCATCTAGCCATTCTAGAAGTAGATGGCTTATACACTTTTCCCTGCTGAAGAGACAAAAAAAAATTCCGCAATGTGATAAAATTCTCCATCATACTCAACATAGTTGGGTGGAACTGAACATTGTGAAGCTGCTGATGTTTTCTCCCCGTAATTAAATCTCCTTCGTCTCTTCAAGTGGAACGTGCCTTCATTCTGCTCGTCTTCCTCCATCATGGAAATATCTGACGCCGTCGCAGCAACTAGGTCCTTATATTGTTCCATCCCTTTTACGTTCCCATGCGATGTACAAACAAAGGCATACGTTTCTCTCTCTGAGTCTGTAGAGAATTTGAGATTTAAGCATGATTCGTGGAACCAGTTGTCGCACCCTGGATAATCACAACCAATCCAGTGAGTCGTCTTTGGAGCTTTAAAGGCAGGATTTGCGTATTTACAGGTACCCTTCTGGAAAAGATGGCAATGCCTTGGGTCATCATCGTCATCGACATCACCATTTTCCTCTCCTCCTTCTTCTCGGTCAAATGCATTTGACCTTGGGATGGAGGACGCTGCCAGATCAGATAGCGCAAAGGAATAGCAATGTTCGTTAGTCTCAGCAGCAGAACATAGAACATCGTTTTCCACGTCTAGCAATTCTTCTACGGTTATAGTGTCACTTTCATCAGGACCGTCACGTATATCAGCTAAGGCTTCTATTCCTGGGTTGATATACAGTATGTCCCCTGAATCATCTAATCTTAATATGTTACCAGCAGCTAAAAGTGGCAGCATGCCTAGTCCCTCGATGGTTTTCAGAACTTCTTTTTCTGCCTCCTTGATGCCGCTCAAGATTTCATCTTCCACAAACTCTGGCCAAGATGTGCGAGAAACAACTGGAGGCTCCTTAAGTTTCAGCTCATCGAGTTTTGCTATTCTGCCGCAAATGTCGAGCATGTCCAGCATACAAAAATTTGTTTTCCTTTACAAAACCCACGACAGCGTGCAAAAAGTCTTTCACAACTGTCAGAACCAAACGTAGAGGGATTAAAAGATTGATCGGGGAAGTACTCCGAAAATAATTTTCTCGACAATATAAGCGAGTGTCCCGCAAGCACTATATCGTTGTACGTTTGTAAGGATATAAAAGAGGACTCTATTGGATAATTTGACATCTCTACCCAAGCTTTCCATAATCTGACAAAGCAAACTGAAGACCAAGCAAGCTTTGACCGTTCTTTCACAGTGAGATTTTCATCTGTATATGCACGTAGCATGTTATGTCCTACTTTAAGGTAAACTCGAATTGCTTGACTGCGGTCCTTATTCCACTCGCTCAAGCATTCTCGGACTTCAGGTTGCAAAATTCGTAGCGCTGCAGCCACGTTCTGTTTGTCCCTGACGAAAATGTCACTTTTCCATAATCCACTTTTTAATTTGTTCGCCTCATACAACCTCATTAGATCTTCAATCATGACAAACGAATCTCCTAGAACCAGGACGCGACGCACGTTTAGAATCTGGTTTCTCCATTTTTAATTAGGTGCTTCCAGTCAGGAAACATAACAGTAGGAATTCTCAGGCCATGAACATTCTTGACCACAGAAACAAAACTGAACCCCTTGTGAGATACCGAAATCACTTCATCTACCATGCCATGCCTTTTACTAAACTCATCAAGAAAGTATCTTCTAAATTTAGAGTCTCCATCCGCACCTATTCCGAGAATCTGCATATTATGTTGAGCACCCCAGTTTAATGCGTCCACGAACCAATTCCTCACTGAAGCCCAGTCTTGCCCCTTAACTACTGGTGAAATTGCAAGGGTAAAACTAGGAACGTGCTCTTGCAGAGGAGTCAACACAAACGCATTAGCTTGCCGCGCCTTTTCCTTACTTTGGTCATTTGTCACCTCGATAATATCTTGTGCAGTACGTACAAAATGTCCTCTTCAGATGCAATTCCTACGATTCGATTGCCTCTTACTCTAAGGCATGGTGAAATTGCAGTAGCATCTATGGCCAGGACAAATGGTCCCGTATAACCAACACGTTGATAGAATGAGGCCGCTATTCCAAACTGATCTTCTGTTAGTTTAGTTGCAATAGGAACCTTGCGTCGGGCTGTTGCATAAGCAGTCTGCAGACTCGGCCCGCCAATTTTTTCCCTGATTATCTTTAGCAAGGCCAGTCCTCCATAATCTAGAATAATTGCGAACAAGGACTTTGTGTCGTCATTCCAGCATTTTTTCTCATTTATGTTGTGCGCAAGAAGATCGGACACAATCGAAATGAATTCAGTATTTTTTTGGTCTTTCCTTTCTACTACTGCAGCCAGCTGAAGCGCGATTTCTGGCAGCTGCTGTTTTAGACATTTGCTTTTCAGATCATGCTGTAATGCGCAAATGACATCTTCTTTTACCGATAACTGTAGTCTAAGTTCAGCAATTTTTTTTCGATACAATTCTGATAATGAAGCTTTCTCCGCTATATGTTGAATACAAGAGGTGGCAATGTCTAAACGGCTCTTTTAAAATTTTCCTCTGATGCTCCTAACAGACACTGGAACCGAAGGAGTCCCTGACCCTCTGGGTATTGTCTCTACTTTCCATTAACATATTTGAGATTTCCCTCTCCATATGCGACTTTTTTTGGACTTTGGACAAATCGGAGGAATGTAATAATTTTTCAGTCTCTATCCTAGCCTCTGAAAGCCGGTTCATGTATACAAATTTTTCGTTGTATACGATCTCTTCAACTGAAACGCGTTGTTTTGAGTTGTCTTGCTGATCCCGCAAAGGAGATTCTGTCATCATCATTTCACTCAGCCTCTGTCCGAACGCCCTGTTCATTTCTCGGTGTGTATTTGCAACTGCCTGTGAAAATAGAAATCAATTAAACATTGGGTCAGATGACTTGAGTTGGAAAACCCTTAAAACATCGCTTAAAAAGACGCGGAATCAAAACAATGAAAAAAAGGGAAAAAAGAACCCACGCTGTATACCTTTTCTCTTTGTGCATAAGACACCATTTCTGCAACCATGACTGTTTTGGCACTTGCGCTCCGAGATGTTGATGGGCTGGGGGAAGACTTCTGTTTGGCGGTTCCAAAATAACTCGTCAGCAGTTTATTTCCTGTAAGAAAGATGTTCGTGCGTGTGTGTTAAATACGCTACGGTGTATACAGCCCGCCCCTCACAGCATAATATCGCTGAGCAGATTCGTTGGTTAAGTATTAAAAAAAAAAAAAAACATATTAAAATAAACTGAATGATCACTCAATAGATCAACTACTCTTTTAAAGGAAAACAGCAGAGAGTTGTCAAATATTCGAATAATATAGGTTTTTCTTACAATAGTGATATATTTGAACTAATACAACTTTTTTAGTATATTTCCTGTTCTGTTTTATTGAGTAAATTAAATTATATTTTATTTTTCCTGGACTTATTTAGATTCTGAAAACTTCTTTTTCTTCGTGTTTAGTATCAAGAATAGATCGGATTCAAACTGACCAAACGCGGGAATCAACTGCCAGATTCTCTCCCCAGTATCTTTTTCACACGTTCACTGACTGCCGGTGTTTGTGCTAATTCGTGTCACACGTTCACTGACTGCCGGTGTTTGTGCCAATTCGTGTCTCGGGTGTGTTAACGTTTGTTTTCTCTCGGTTTTCTTGATCTTTGTTGAAACTGGTTCAACCATGGAAGATAAAGAATACGTTGAAGTGTCAGTCAAGATAGCAGAAAAAGAACTGCCTGATTTGAAGAAATTTGTTGAAGAGCGTTGCGGAGAGAGATTAAAGTAATGGAAAATGCGGTGAATGGTACCAATGGTACGCAGTGTTGTTTGTTTATTTCACTCATGAATGTTATGTGTTTTGAGATGTTTTTAAGCCTCCTCCATTATAGTTTAAACTGCAAAAATTTAGATTTAGACCTTGTGGAACTGACACTGAATTTTAGGAGCGATTTAAGACAAGAATGGTCTTAACCTTTTCCACACAGGAAAAAGCACGTGTAATGAAGCGACAGAAGCTACCGGCTACAAACGCTCAAACGCAAGTCGTGGAGATTACAGACGAAGCAGATCAAGAAGCCGGTGCAGCTAAGAAGAATACGGAAGATGTCATTCTTTTACCGAGGGAAATCGCTTCAAAAGTTTCGAGATGGCTCCTCACAAAAGGGGTTTCCCAAACATTCTTTGCTAAAAGGGTAGTGAATAGGTCCCAAGGTTCTTTCTCAGACTACATCACAAAAGCGCCAAACGAGCTGCCAAAAACACATGGCCAGGCAATATGGGTAACCTTGAACGCTTTTCTAAACGACCCCAAACAGCAAGCCGCATTGATCGATGAATACAAGAAAGGTAAATATCTATTTATAGTTGTTGTATTTACATTCTTTTATAATAAAGTGAAATATCATTGCTCGTCACCTTCTTGGTGACAATATTTATAGCATGACACCTTTACCACCGCTGACGGTTAGGCTCGACCACTGTAAGTCATTGAATGACAAAAGGTTAGTATAGGGTTTCTTGACTAAATTAATTTTTTGCTTTAAATTATTTTAGTGTCAAAATCACGGAGGAAAGAAATTGATGAAAGTGACAAGCCTCCAAAAAAGGCGGTTAAACGATACAGCGACCTCGAATTATCCACGCTAGATTCCGTCTTCAAGTCATCGAACGGATTGCCTGAAAGAAGCGTACTAGAGCGAACGGCCAAGTTACTAAAACTAGAAGAGCGACAGGTAAGCCTAGAATATTTCTTTGCAACAAATTGGTAAACGATCAAATCAAACTGAAAACTTCGATCAATTCGTTGCTAAACTTTACAGCTGAGTTGTCGATTTGACATCTTTGTTTAGCCTTACCTTTAGGTTTACTTGACAAAACATTATTGTCGTCGTCCAAATACCATCCAGCTTTTATTTTGTGTGACTCTTCCTTGCTATGGCGCTTCACCAGCCACATCGTTTTAGCGCTATCTCCATAGGTTAAAGTCAAGCCACATGAATTACAAGTAATCGAGTTCTTGAAATCACTGTCGGATGTCAGGGGCCGAAAATCACGTTTCTGTAATTCTTGGTTCACCTGATGTATGTCTTTATGAGGGGCACTGTCGGTAACTTCGAAAAGATATATGCTTAAAATAATGCATGAGAAAAAAGGAAATATAATGCGCCATAGCACCGATCTGCTTGTACAAGAGACTAATCTCGACTAATGCATGGTTCCACGTGGACACAGTAGGAGTTAAGTTCATGCGGTATTCTTCTTGCCGGGCTCGTTGCAATTACAAAATGAGTTGCGTTGGTGCTAGGAATAGACGCTGAATAGAAAGTATCCAGGTATCCTTCATGGAGAGTTGACCAAACATTTATTTACTTATTTATTTCATTTATATTTTGTGACTTCCAGGTGAGCGTATGGTTTAACAATCATCGCAGGAAACAAAAGCAGGGAACTTACAAGCCGGGGCAGTATACGCAGAATCAGGGGGAAGCAGTGACGATTCGGGAGCTACTCCACAGTGACATGTGACCAGTGACTTGTTTTATCTGGTTTTATTTAGTTTGTAACCTGGTACACGTGAATTATGAAAAATAAAAAGTAATTTTAACTGATTTCATATAGAAAACCACAAACTTGTCTGTTTATTTTGTGCTATCGTCCATCGCATCCATCAACCCTGTTGGAATAAGGAATAACACTGAGCATTAATAAGAGGATTAATTGTACAGTGTGCTGTTATCGCACTGCGAATGAAGTGGGTTCGTGGTCTGGGAAGTTTTCTTGTTCACGTGTTCACTCTTAATCACGTGACCTTTCACCATCATCTGCTATCACATACCACGCGTACTACCCACAAACCTTAAACCGAAACCTGAAATCCAATGTTTATCCGCTGATTAACTCACCAAAGCCGATTTATGTTAAATATCAGCCATAGAACGCACAGAAAGCAACATTCAGCTTATGCAGAAATGAAATTCATTCCAAGATTGACTCAATTCAACATGGTTTTTGTTGTAGCAGTACGCCACGTTTACCAGCGTAAACAATTCCACTGGTGTTCTTACGCCGCTTACACAGTGTGCTGTCGTTTTCGTCCGAGCTACGAGTCTAAAAACTCAGAAAAATTGCTTCAAATGCGAATGAGTTATCTGGTTATCACAGATTATCGCCAAGACTGGAAGAGGTTTTGACGTTCAGTTTTCGGTAAGAAAGAAAAAAGTTCCTTGATTCTAAATTGACTTGATATAATTTTTTTTTCAATGTCCTCAATCGACCGGATAAATCGATAAAATCGATAATCTCGGTCTAAGTCTTGTGATTATCGATTTCTATCGATTATTTTAGCTAATCGATTAACAATTATCGAGTATTATCGAGTAATATCGAGTAATCGATTAGTTTTCGATGATCGATTTCTATCGATTTGTAACGCCCTGAGTAAAGCAAATAGCAAAATTCGAAAGGGAATAATAAGATTCGAACATGCATATAAGAATTCCTAAGAAAACTGAATAACAGCATAGAAGAATGGCATAACAAAATTTGAAAGTTAATATTGGGGAAAATCACCCCTCATAGTAAGATGTGGTTTGTAATGTTATCGAGCAAAAGAAATGTTTTTTGGGGGTATCTCGTCAATTCAGAAGTCATTTCAGAGAAAGATGGTGGTCTCTTAGAAAGAATTACAGCGCTCGTACGCATTGCTAGCGGCAAATGCACGTTTGTAGTTGTTTAAGACATAACAGGTTTGAAACGGAACAGGGTTTGTTAAAGGCGTTGAACAAAAATTAGTTACTCTAGATTCAGTTCCATTCCATTCCATTATTTGTATGTTTCTCAAATTCAAAACAAATCTTCAAATTCAGAGCTCGAGGATGAATACAATAGTGATCTTTGCATCATTGACAGTGACAAAGATAGGCATGATAGTGATGATAAGAATTCTGACATCTTATGATTCTGATAAACAGTAATACTCTCAATAATATTGATACTGACAGTAGCAGCTGCATTTACCTGCTGCCTTTAAAAAAAAACAAAATACATGGCCAAGTGCTTGTTATAATCGTACCAACGACAATTATTCATTTCCACATAATAAGTAACGTTAATTAGCCGTGTCATCACAAATTTAAATAAAGCTGTATTACATGAATCCTCAATTTACCAGGCATTGTTCTTGGTCATTCGGTGGATTCTCCCGGGGTGTCGCACAAAATAGAATAGGAGCAAAAACATTCAGCGAAATAAAATTGACAGTGGCATTTTATCCCCAGGGACACAGGAGAACTTCCACAGCTATTCAAGAATAATGTTCAACTGCCCATCCAATAAAGGCAGACTTTGAATCAATCTTGGAAGAGATAGCAAATCTTCTTAGGAATCCACCACAAGATTACATCTGCAGGAAAGCACCCGTTAAGTTCGAGGAGAATGCACTTTTGTTATAGGTACGAAGGCCCTAAGAAATCCTAATGACTAGAAAGCAGACGATCTAGGCGCCTTCCACAACGTGGGGAAGGTAACAGTTGGATATTTCCATGTTACAGCATCTGGAACTCGTTTCCTGTCGAAAAAGAAACCGTCCAGGGTGGAGGATGAAAAAGTTGTGCTGCTAAAGAAAACGTACTGGACTCATCAATGCCACAAAGATTTTAAGAGACGATGTTTTGAGGGGTATGACTACAAAGGGGGGGTGAGGCTTCTTTGCTACGAATTCGAGGGTAAGCCTCACCCTGTCCCAACAGCAGCTCATGGAAATGTAAAGAAGAGTAACAGTTCGTACTATCGGAGTCGTCCAAGTACATAGCAGAGCATCAAAGATAAAGCAAAAGACCGAGAGGGGCCTTCTCAAGTATACGACGAAGTTTTTGAGGACGCAGGAGGTTTGCTTGGATATCAATCACACAGGGTTTTGCCAAGGAACAGAAAGCAGGTCAGTGATGTTAACTGAAACGCGAAGCCGAAAAAGGACAAAGATGAAATGTGCAAGTTAATCAAGATGTCCAGGCTGGAAGCAAGCCAATTGAAGCCTTTTATAAGACGTGTCCAGGTCACCCAAGAGCCGTCCTTTATTGTAGCAAGTGGCAGACAGCTCAACGATTTAGTACCATTTTGTACAACACAGTTCCTTCCAGCGTCAGGGCTGTGTATAGACACAACATTCAATATTGGTAATTTCTTTGTTACCTCTACCACCTACAAGCACAAAATCCTGGTTGACAAGCACTACGGAAAGGAACCTACATTCTTTGGGGCCGACTATGATCCACATGCAGACAAAGGCAGAAAGTTACAAGTTTTTCGGTTCGTAGATTTGTCTCCCTCGATGATGAACGAAGCAACACTGTGGCGATTGGTTCCGACAGGGACGTTGCACTGAGGAAGGGATTTTGATCTTGTTTCCTGATCGCTACCCAGCTCTGCTGCAAAGGTCACCTGGAGCAGGATATCCGACGTAAGCTGAGAGACCTCGGAATTGGCCAGTTTCAGAAGAAACCTTTTTTGGAAGATACATTTGGTTCGGAGGCAAAAAAAGAACTTGGCCTTGTTGATGCTGTCAGTCGCGATGAGTTTGATGCTGTCCTTGAATCGTTATATCCCGTATGGACAAAACGCGAATTGGAGGCTAGGCAGTTAACCAGTGAGGATAGAACCGAATTTTACAGCTACTTTCTAAAATACGTCGCAGAGGACATGCAAAGCATGATGATCGCCAGTGTAAGAAAGAAGACCGGGTTTGATGACAGTTTCTTTTATAGCAACGACCAGAGTCAATGAGCAACCACATTAAAACCCGTATGGAAAAAAAGAAGCTCAGTTGGCCTGAATGCATACGGCAACTCAAGGAAATGTCAGAGGCACAAGAAAGAAACATCAGCCAGGCACTAATAAACGAGGGGCCTTATAGGATTCGTCCTAAATGTCAATGACTGATAATACCAGCAGAAAAGTGGCTAGGAATGTCAAAACAACAAAAGGAGAGAAAGTTGAGAGAATTCCAGAAGATTGCGTTGTCGAAAGCGTTTGGATTTAGTAGCTCCGCTACCACTTCCTCCATTTCTTCAATACTAGCGGCGGCAACAGAAGGAATGCCTTCTTCTTCTGGCAAGAAACCGGGGCAGAGTGGAAGACACGGTGGACGACAAAGCCTGTCTTCTCCCAGGGACACAACTGGATTCCGACCAAGAATAACCGTTGCTGAAGAGCATTCCTCGGGCGCCAGGGACACAAGTGAGTTCCAGCCAAAGGAAACAGCCAGCGACTTGCAGTCATCTATGCCTACAGATATGAGTGGGTCCCACGAGCCTCAGTCATCTGAGCGTCTGTACACATGCACTTGGATAAAAGACACGAAAGCGTACATATGCTACAGATGTTACTATCCACTCAGGCCCAAGCCAACTGGTCAGCCAATTGATGTGCTGCCCCCTGCATCCTTTGATGTTATCTTTTGCCGCCAGGAGCTGAGTATGTAGAAAACCAAAGCTGGCGCTCTCTCCTTCTCAGTGCAGCCTCAGGATGTCTACTACCATTTAAAGAAAACATGTGTGTTAAAGAAAAACAAACACTTTGCCACAAAAGATCTATGTGTTAAGCTTGCTGGACTAGAAGCAGTTCGCATTCATCAACTGCGCAAAGAATTTGGCTTCGTAATTCAAAGTGATTAATTTCACCAGTGTTATGATGAATACACTAACAGTAAGCCCACTAAAGGATCTCTCCCTTCTTTTGTTTTATACTTGTTAGTGGTTAGAGAAGCACTGTTCAATAATATTGTGCATGGTTAATTTTCACACAGGTTATGAGGTCTCAGCATGCATTTCAAGTTTAAATTAGAACCATGTTGAAATTTGTACGGATCAGTTAAGGTTTCTGGGAAACTGCCCACCTACCCCTCCCCTAACCTAACGTTAACACTGACTTCTCACTTTAGGCAAAATGTTGGGTTAGGGGAGGGGTAGGTGGGCAGTTTCCCAGGAACCTTAACTGATCCATTTTTACTTTGTCATTGTCAACATTTATAGGTTGAAAATGACTGAAACATTTTTAAATCACACCACTACTTAATCCGAAGAATAGAATCGATGATTGTTATAGTAAATTTGTAAAGTAACAACAAACAATCTTAGTCGTTTAACCATAGACATCCTCTTTTGATCTCCAGAGGCATCGGATCACTAAGCCTGTTCAGTCAAACGTAGATTGTTAGTATGCAGTTGAAGAATTAATTTACTCAGATAGTCCTTTTTTATATCAGAAGTCTTCAGACATTTTGATTGTGTTTTATTTTAAACATTTTCATTGTCCTTGTTTTATTGACAATTGCAGGTATCATGATTATTAAAATTGTCGTTCTTTATCCCTTTAACTCCCACGGGTGATTAGCATGTAACTTCTCCTTAAAACATTAATACACAGTCCAGCAGACAGGAGATGAGAATAGACAAACTTATCAGCCATGGGGTGTTATCTTGATATAACCTCAAATTCTCCTAACTGATGCACAAGGAAATGTCTTGCAGCCAGAAACTCTTGGGCCTACCGAAAAGGAAGATCGACAAAGCTATTACTCATCCACCTGACTGAAACTTGGCGACGAGCAATCGATAACAAATTAGTTGTGGGCGCTCTATTCGTAGACTTCCAGAAGGCGTTTGATTGCGTTTCACACCCAATTCTTCTTCACAAGCTAGAGCACAACTTTGGAATCACGGGAAACTTACTGGCACGGCTAAGAGATTATCTATCTGAACGGGAAAAGTATACTGTAATTAATGGCGTACCCTCTGAGAATACCAAAGTTGCACACGGTATACCACAGGGCTCCGTACTAGGGCCCATACTCTTCTCCTTGTACACAAGCAATCCACCGAAAGCAGTTAACACTGCAACGACGTTCCTGTATGCTGATGATACTACCATGTACTGTGTTGGTGAATCTGTAGACCAGGTCACAACAACGCTGAACAAAGCTCTAGAAGAACCCGCCCTGTGGTGCAAACATAACTCCCTGGTACCACACCCCAAAAAGTGCAAGGGAATGATCCTTAAACGAAATCATTTCATCGGTCCCTTAGGCAGCTTAAAAATTAACCAGCATCTCATAAAATGGTCCTCAAGTTCTAAGCTGTTAGGTGTAACCATCGACAACAAGCTTACGTGGACAAAACACATATCAGAGCTCAAGAGAGGGTTTGTTAACAAGCTCAATCTAATCAAACGCAGCCGCTTTTTACCCAGGAATTCGCTGTTAGATCTATATTTTAAAGTCATTTTAACCTCGGTTACATATGCGTTACCAATTTGGGGCTGTTGTACAAATAAGAATGAATTTAATTCTTTGGAATCCATACATTGCAGGGCTGCTAGAGTTATATATAACCTCCCGCGCGACATGCCCTCTGAGGATGTAAGAAAAACAGCTAACTGGGACTCTTTATTTGACACTTATAAGGTCAAAATAGCCACCTTAAATTATAATATATACAACCGCATAACTCCATCATGCTTGGAACATATAATCCAAAGGAAAGAGTCTAAGCATGACCTCTGTCATCAAAATCGTATTAGCGTACAACGTTTTGAAACTTATTATATGAAAAACTCTATTTCTTACATTGTTTGAAATCTTTTAGAACCACCCGCAGTCAGCGCCAGGGACTATGCCAAAAGGGCAAGAAATTCTCGCGCCCCCAGAAACTAGAACTTTAATGAAGAGTCACTGCAAATGGGTCGTCCCCAAATTGACAGTGATTTCATCTTTTATTAATTCCATTCACATCTTTTATTGTACATATTTCACCTTTTACTGACTACATTCAATTTTAATAATTTTTATTATTTTATTTTATTAACATTTTTTTACGCGGCCCCATAAGCTATATTAGCTTTAAAACCCACCATGTTTAAATAAAAGATGTTGTTGTTGTTGTTGGGAGTTGAAGGTTTAAGACATTTGTGTTTATAGTGTTTTGCAAAATGGAATTTCCAGCGTTTGAGTGGATACGAATTAGCCGGAAATGAAATATTTCTGCGGCACGGGAGCAGTGGGGACTGGGGCAGTTGAAGTGCAGTATGGGTAGAATGGAGCGCTATAAAAGGGATGCTTATCACGTGGGAAAGCATTCTAGGCCGACACCTCGTCTAGCTCATGTTATTTTTTACTTTTGTCTTCCTTGTGACTTATTCTCAATCATGGACGAGGCCGAAGTAGTCAGAATTGTGGAATCGACTGTTACAAAGAAGAATGAGAATCTCTTAGCGTCTATGAAGTTGTTGCTCGATGACTCCTTAAACGAGCTGAAACATTCGCATGCGGACACCGCAGATTCCCACCTCAAAGAAATCAAGAAGCTTAAGTTCGACGAGCCTCATCGGTTTAAAAAGAGAGGTAACGAAGATCAATATCGATTCAACCTCAAAGTCAGCGACGCTATTGAAGAGGCTAAAGATGCTTGTTCCGCTTGTCAGTTTGATAAAGTTCACGCTTCACTTGAGAAAGGTGAGAAGTTATTGACTGAGAGGCAGAAACATATTCTGCTTGCTGACAAGTCAGACTTTGGGTAGTCATTGATTCGTGAATACAAACGTAACGATCTTGCGGAGGATTCCGACAACGAGAAGAAGATTATCAGAGCAGTGGCTAGGGCACGTAACCAGGCTAAACAAAGCGAACGTTTTAAGTCAAGGCAAACAAACAGAAGAGATCCCACTGCGTTAACGTCGGTCGCTGCTGCTGCTTCTAGCCAGTGTAGTGGGAAACCTATTCCAGCCCAGAACGCCACAAGCCAAACCGGGTTCCTGTTTTGCCTGTAATAAACCTGGACATTGGAGGGCCCAGTGTCCTTATACTGCAAAGTCAACCACCGGCTAATGACTAGCCACCGGCGATCCACAAAATTTTCAAGGTGTAGTCAATTCCATTGTTTCAAATAGCTCTAGTGACTGTTCTGATGATGATCTTTTAAATTCAGATCGTCCTGATCAGGCAGTAAAAATAAGGTCGCTGTTAAATTATGAGTTTACTTCAGGGCAATATAACAGCCCTTCGGTTCGTGGTCGTTTGTCTTTGTGCTACGATCAATGGGTGAAATTAGGCGCCTCGGGGTTTATATTAAGCGTTGTCCGTGACGGTTATAAAATTCCTTTCGTGACTTTTCCGCCCCCTAAAGTTATTCCTAACAATCACTCTGCTATTACCCACAGTCATTTTGTTTCTGAGGCTATTTGCGACCTGTTAAGAACTAAGTGTGTTGGGATTCTGGATCACAAGCCGGATATCGTTAATCCACTTTCTGTCTCCATACAGTCTTCAGGCAAGAAGAGATTAATTCTTGATTTGAGGCACGTTAATCTGTATGTTTTTAAGCGTAAATTTAGATGCGAAGATGTATTGGTTGCCCTTCAAATTTTCTCTCAAGGGTTTTTTCTTTTCAAGTTCGACTTGAAGTCCGGTTATCATCACGTTGAAATTTTTCCCGATTACCGTTAATACTTAGCTTTCTCCTGGGATTTTGGCGACGGTGTTGTGAAGTATTTTCAGTTCACAGTTTTATCTTTCGGGTTGTCTTCCGCAACGTATTTGTTAACAAAATTATTAAAGCCTATTCTTACTTCATGGAGGTGCAAAGGAATTCCCATGGCTATTTTTCTCGATGACGGCTTAGGGGGTGGTAGCAGTTCTATCAAGGCCAAAATCAACAGTTTGACTGTTCGCGCTGATTTGACTAGGTACGGCTTTGTTATTAACGAAGAGAAGTCCCTTTGGGAACATGTTCAAGTTATTACCTGGCTCGGCACTGTTTTTGATGCTTATCAAGGATTTATTTCGGTTTCCGAGCGAAGGGTTCCAAAGCTTAAGAGTAGTATTGATCTCTTACGTAAGGATGACTGTAAAAGTTTCAAAGTTACAGATGTAGCCTCTGTGGTAGGCCAAGTCATCTTGCTCACTCCTTGTGTTGGAAGTGTAGCCAGAATTATGACACGTGCTTTGTACACAGTTGTAAATCAGAAACAGTCTTGGAACTCTAAGGCTGAGTTGACTAAAGAAGCTTGTCATGAATTAACGTTTTGGATAGACAACGTCGACTGTCTTAATTTTCGTTGCCCCTGGTTACCTTTTCAACCGCCCGCTAGATTTGTCTATTCTGACGCATCAGATTACGCTTGTAGTTCTTTTGTTGAAAACAAGCATATTAAGACTTTTCATCAAAATTGGAGTGCTAGAGAGGGTTCTTAAAGCTCTACCTGGAGAGAGCTTAGGACTGTAGACCTGGCACTTTCCGCCTTTGCTCCTGATCTTCAGGGTAAAAAAGTTGCTTGGTTTACTGACAACACTAGTCTAGTAAGCATCATTCATAACGGTAGTAGGGTTGAGGAGCTTCAGTCTCTAGCGCTTTCTATTTTTCATGTTTGCGCGAGTTCAGGCATTTCCCTTGAAATGAAGTGGATCCCTAGGGATTCTAATCACCAGGCTGATTCTTTGAGTAGAATAATTGATTTTGACGATTACTCCATTAATGATGACGTGTTTCATATGTTGTATTGTAAATGGGGGCCCCACACAGTGGATAGGTTTGCCTGTAGTTACAACGCCAAGCTTTCGCGCTTTAATTCTAGATTTTAACAACCCGGCGCTGAAGCTGTGGACGCCTTCGCCCAGAACAGGGAGGGAGAAAATAATTGGGTCCATCCAACGGTATCGCAAATTAGTAGTGTTATTACTCATATGAGAGCGTGTAAGGCTGTAGGAACTTTAGTTATTCCTTTGTGGACGTCTTCCTATTTTTGGATTTTACTATGTGATGATGACAAACACTGGAACGCTTTTGTACACGATTGGGTGATTCTTCCCAAGTTCGGGCATTTTTTTGTTAGAGGTAAGGCCAAGAATCACTTTTTTAGCTCAAAAGATTTGTCCTATAGTGTAGTAGCTCTGCGTCTAAATTTTGTGCAACCTAGGGCGCAGTCTGTTTTGTGTTTTTGTACAGTCGAAGATGACAATTGCTCGCTTTGCAACAATTTTTTTAATTAGGGTCTTTGGTACTCATCTTTGGAGAAGTCTTTGGGTACTTCCTTTATTCACGTTCTTTAGGAATGTCGTTTTTGAGCTGGTTCATGCGTTTGCCTGCTCTCGTGATTGGAGTTTTCCTTTACTTATTAATGATAGTATTGCTGGTTTGTCAGCTGCCTTTTGGTTCACCATTTTCAAGTGGTAGATTTTATTTTTCTTGATTTGCATTTATTATGCACACTTTAATGAGCCTGTTTAAGAATGCTTTCTGACAGAGGTGTTATAAAATTAAAACTAGTCCATTGTTGCACACTCTCGTAGTTTGTTTTTCCTTTCTGTTGTCTCTGATTGCTCTCCCATTTTGTTTACAGATATTTTTAATGAAGGTATTTGGAAAGAAACCGAAACTTTTCAGGACCCATATCTGCAGAGCCTCACTCCAAGGCTTCAGACGTCTGTTTTGTCAGCAAGGGCTCTGACCACCACAAATATATATCATCAGGCGTTCGGGAAATGGATGGACTTTACTTTAAGCAAATTGAACTTTTCTTTTCTGCCGGCAAAACCTGTTCATGTAGCTGTTTATTTATAGCATGTATTAGAATCCACCAATTCCTCTAGCTCCGTCGATACTGCATTTTATACTATTAACTAGGCCAACGAGATCGTCGGTGTGGCGTCTCCTACTGATAATCAGGGGTCAGTTAAATAAACGTCTGCAGAGCATCGTTCCGGATCCCTCTGTCTACGGGACTCACTCTTTCCAGTCTGGAGGAGCGTCGAGTGCTGCCAACAGCGGGGTTAATGATAGAGTTTTTCAGAGGCATGGCAGATGGAAAAGTGTCGCAGCTAAGGATGGTTACGTAAAGGACGACACGTCTTCACGTCTTGCAGTTTCGAAATCTTTGGGACTTAAGTTTGTTTTCTTTCCGGGGTTCAGTCAAGCCCTATACTTTTTCTTCTAGGTTGTTGTATAATGTATTGTTATATCTGCAGTGCTCGGCCAAAACAGCCAAAATAAACCTAATGGTTTTTCTATTCATGTTGTACTGCGTAGTGGAGCCGAAATATGGAATTTCCGGCGTTTGAGTGGATACGAATTAGCCGGAAATGAAATATTTCTGCGGCACGGGAGCAGTGGGGACTGGGGCAGTTGAAGTGCGGTATGGGTAGAATGGAGCGCTATAAAAGGGATGCTTATCACGTGGGAAAGCATTCTAGGCCGACACCTCGTCTAGCTCATGTTATATTTTATTTACTTATTTATTTATTTATTTTAGTATTTATTTGATTTACTAGTGGCAGTTCGATTTTTCCAGAGGTTTCTTAGCTTGTTTGCGTTTCCTTAAATTATTTAGAGTTTGCCGTCCTTTGTTGGAATACTTGTTTTGTAAATAAGGGCAAAGTCCTTCCAGCCGTGTAGCCTTCGTAGGATGGGCTTTTCAGAGCATGAGCCATGGATCATACCCAGATTTCCTGCCGAGTTTTTTTCCTCACTGAGGTTTTATTCCGGCAGGTTTTTTCTGGCCTCTGTTCTGACAGTATTCTGTGTAAACTGTCGCTCAGCTCTGTTCTAGTTCTTACACCACATATTTGAATGTAATAGAAAATGTTGTATAATGTAATTGTTATATCTGCGGTGCTCGGCCGAAACAGCCAAAATAAACCTAATGGTTTTTCTATTCATGTTGTACTGCGTAGTGGGGCCGAAATCAGCTCAATCTCATTTGTGCTATCAAACAATTAAGCTCAAGGCTTAAACCTTGCCAGCACAGTGATTGATTGCAGAAGAGTAAATACTTCTTATTAGCCGAGTTTTTGCGCTTGGGCCATAAATCGATGGAAAAAACGAGGATCCGTAATTTACAGTACGGACCGAAAAAACGAGGCTAATAAGATGTTTATTATATGGCTTCTTCCTGTTTGCGGGACCGGAAACTAGTACAGGATGCACGATTTGACAGTCATTTGACAGGCTTCAAAAAGGAAAGTTTTTATTGGCGCACAAAAACAATAGCACATAACAAAGGCTTTCCGAGAAAGTAAAAACAAATTCGCCACGTTGAAAAAGTTTATTCGGTCGTAACTAAGAGCACTGTACGTTTTAGCTCTTAAATGTAACGCTTGAGTATTTTGGAAACCGAGCACTGTCTGTCTAAGTCGTTTCCATCTTTCCTTCGTTTGTCCTTGTAAAAAAAAACACTGTAAAAGGCAAAGAAGCTTTTCAAGGTAAGTTTGTTGTCATTGTCGAAGGATTCGCTCGTTAATTGTTTTTGGGAAAACCTCTCTTTCTGCCAGTTCATTCTCGTCTTCAATTGTGATCTGCGTTAAAATTTTCAAACACTGACTAAAATTCTCTTCCTCGGTAAGGTCACATTTCAGTTTCTACATCAACTTCGTTCTCATAAAAACAAAGCTAGGTTAAAATTTTGGAAAGGCAAAGTCAACATCCCAGTCCTCAGGGTTTATAGACATGTATTTTTAAGTTTATTCGGTCAAAACTAAGAGCACTATAAGTATTCACTCGTTAGTGTAACGCTGGAGTCTTTTGAAAACTGGACATTTATGTCTGGCTCGAAGTCGCTTCTATCTTTCTTTCGTTGGTCTTTGAAAAAACACTTCAAATGGCAAAGAAGCTTGTTAAGATGATCGGATGCAGGTATGTTTGTAATCATATTTGTCGAAGGAATTACTCATTTCTCTTAGGCAAAACATCTCGAATCCCTGCCAGTCGATTTTCGTCTTCTTAACTGTGGACTACGATAAAATTTCAAACACTGACTAGAATCCTCTTCGATAAGATTACGAGTTAGTTTCTTCATCGCCTTCGTTCACAAATAAACACAGTTTAAAAAGTTGAAGGCTAAAGTCACCATCCGAGTCCTCAAGGTTGACAGGCGTCTTACAACTTTATTCGAACCTTTTTTCCCAGGTAAAGAGATTTAGAGCTCCAAAATGAGCATTTTCGTTAAGACTTTTGGTCCGTATAGCGAGTTATAGACCGCAAATTGACCAATCGCGTGGCGAAAACAGACTCAGCCATATAATAGTAGGAATTACAGCGGGGCATTAATCAATTCTTCAATTATCAGGATAATTTTAAAGGTTGACAGAGGCTTTGAAAGTGGGTAACACATCCATCCAGCAGTACTTGGAGGTCTTCAGACATTTTCATTGCGTTCAATTTTCCACATTTTCATTATTGCTGTTTTATTAACAATTGAAGGTATCATGATTATTAAAGCTGTTTTTGGTTGTTCAATTTTCCGGACAATTTAAACGCTAGACTGCAGGGCCTTTGCTAGTGGGTAAAATCAATCTAGTGGTACTTACTTCCTGTCTAATCCCCCTTTTTTAATTTTGCTCCCGTAATCCCTTCGTCATTACTAAGTATTTAAGTTACAGACTATTAGGTCCCAACTGTTACTACCATTAAGAACTAATATTAAACAGCTATAGGGAATGTCTACTCGCCAGTAAATAATTGCTGACTTTCGTTGCGATTCTATGATAAAGAATGTCAAATGAACGAAAAAAATTAGTAACTTAGGCTCAAGAGAAGGAAATGAATAACACAGCGGTCTTAAACATCACATACTAATTAATGGCTGTTTTTTGCAGACAATTGGCTTCTGATTAGGGTTTGATCAAAACTCTCCTTAATTCGGTCAAATCTATTCAAACTTGCACAGAGCAATTTCTAGCATTAGTGGGACCTATCCCTCGAGACACTTTTGAGTTTTTTGAAAAAGGCTCTGCGTGGGCAACAAGTTAAAATCTAATAACAGCAAATATTGATCATGAGGGCAATCAACTGAAAAATGCAATTTTAAAAAAATCATTTAACACAGAGGAAAAGTAGTGATAACGAATAGTTATGCAATGAAACGTCTTTAAAAGGACTATCTCGTGACGTAAAATGACAACTTAACCCAACAAAGTTAGACGAAAAATGGCCAATTTTAAGGAATTTTTAGCCTGTTTTAACTTTGGAAATCCATAAAAAATTCAGAACATAATGAAAAAATCTGGAATTCACATATGTAAAAGACCAATCATATTATAGCAAATCCTCAAAATCTACATGGTAACCATGGTAACCCGACTAGCTACCCTAACTCCACGTAAAAAGTTGAACTCCCCTCCAACAAAGGGGAAGGGCGTTTAAATACAAGAGGGCTGTTCAACACGTGAGGAGGGCACTTCTGTAGCGTGGGGCCTAAGCC